AAGGCAGATGGGGTGGGAAGAAGCCCCAAGATTTCCCAGGGAGTGGATTGAGTAGCTGGGTTGTACTGGATGCAAAGGATCAGGGAGAGGAAAGGTAAGCCTCAGAGCCCCAGAAAGAGGCTGTCAGCCCCAGAAAGAGGCTGGTGGGTGTTGCAGGACCAGGGAATTAGAAGGAGGTGAGGGCAGGGCCGGGTCCAGAGGCAGTGCTCCTGGGGCCCAAGGAAGGCACCAAGCCGGTCACATGAAAAGTATCAGGAAACAGCACTGGCTCCCCAGGTGTCTGGGGCCCCAAGACTAGGAATGGCACAGGGCCCAAACTAGGAGTAGAGAACAGTGGGGGAGATGGAAGGGTGAATGAGGCTTGGGGAGTCAAGGCACAGAGGGCCGAGAGGCCTGAGGATAGGAAAGCAGGTTAGGAGAGTTAGCCAGTTACCCCAAGAGAGGCCTGAGGGCATGAATGCAGGCTAGGAGATTTAGCTGGTGGTGCAGGTCCAGGGAAGCAGAGAGAGCTGAGTGCGGGGCCAGGTCCAGAAGCAGTGCTCCTGGGGCCCAAGGAAGGCACTAAGTTGGTCTGGGTGAAAAGGATCAGGAAGCAGTATTGGTTCCCCAGGTGTCTGGGGCCCCAAGACTAGGAATGGCACAGGGCCCAAACTAGGAGTAGAGAACAGCGGGGGAGATGGAAGGGTGAATGAGGCTGGGGGAGTCAAGGCGCAGAGGGCTGCACGATAGACTTGGTCCAAGAGGCCTCTATGGGTCTATTTTTGTGCCAGTACTATGTTGTTTTTATGACTATAGCTCTGTAATACAGCTTGAAATCTGATATAGTATTCCCCGTGGCATTGCTCTTAGTGCTCAGGGTTGTTTTGGCTATCCGAGTTCTTTCGTGCTTCCATATGAATCTTAGGATAGCTTTTTCCAATTCTGTGAAAAAAATGTCATGGGGATTTTGATTGGCATTGCATTGAATCTATATATGACTTCTGGTAGGATGGTCATTTTCACAATATTCTTCCAATCCACGAGCATGGGAGATCTTTCCATCTTCAGATGTCTCCTCAATTTCTTTAAAGATTTAAAATTTTCATTGTAGAGCTCTTTAATGTCTTTTGGTCAGGTTTATTCTGAGATATTTTATTTTTTTGCAGCTATTATGAACGGGAGTGTTTCCAAGTGCTCTTTTTCTGACTGCTTGTTATTGGTATATAGAAAGGCTATACACTTTTGTAGGTTAATTTCGTAACCTGCCACTTTACTGAACGTGTTAATAATTTCTAGGAGTTTTCTGGTGGAATTTTTGGTTTCCCTTTGGATATAATATCATATTGTCTGCAAAAAGGGATAATTTGATTTCTTCTCTTCCAATTATTACTCCATTAATTTCCTTCTCTTGTCTTATTGCTCTTGCAAGACTTTCAAGCACTATGTTAAAAAAGAGTAGAGACAGCCGGGTGTGGTGGCACATGTCTTTACTCCCAGCACTCTGGAGGCAGAGGCAGGCAGATCTCTGTGAGTTCAAGGCCAGCTTGGTCTTCATACTAAGTTCCAGGACAGCTGGGGCTACAGGGAGACCCTGTCTCAAAAAGACCAAAAAAAAAAAGT